ATAATATCTAATATATTTTTTTAATAGATTAGGATATCTAACATTAAACATCGTTAGATAATAATAGAAATTATTAATGAAATTAGTTTTATTAATAATTGTATTATCTATTATTTAGCGAAGCAAGTCAATATGGCTAATGTATATACATTTCAAAATATTAAAGGTCATCGACTTGGTAGTATACGCGAAGAAGAGCTAGAAAAAAAAATACACGATGCTATTAAATCCAAAGCTGAAATTAACAAGCTTAGCAAAAAATTACAGGATAAATATATAAAACAAATGAAGGCTTTTGATCGGGAAAGAAAGAGGTGAAATCAGAATTTATTACGAAATAATACTGAGATCCAAAAATTATGCACTCACGCTTTGTAGGTCATTAATGAACATAAGCAACTACAAAATGAAAATACTAATCTTATTTCTCATAACGCTCAAAAGGATATTTTTATTGCTGAATCCAAAGCTAAGAATATTACAAAATCTAAGAAAATCAAATCACTCAAATATATGATCAAGATATTGGAAAGTAAGTTTTCTTCAGCCCAGAAAGATGTAATTTCAATTCAAAATGACTCATCGAAAAAAGAATCTGTGATTTTATCTCTCAAGTCTACAATAGTTGAAGTAGAACATGAGTTAGCTTCAAAAGTCAGTGAACTTGAGTATCTGAAATCAGAGGCTATATTAAACCCCATACTTGGTGGAAATGATGAAAAAAAATATGACCAAGTCTGATGATATATCTGCAGTTATTGAACCTAGCAAAAATCTCAGACAATATTTTGTATGCAGAAAAAGTATGGATCAAGCTAAAAAAATCGATAATGATATCTCAGCACAAACTAGCACTTTTGGTACTTGCTTCGTTAATGATGAGATTACTGAACTACCAAAAATTGATATAGAGGTTAATTCCGAAGTAAAGGATAGAACTAGCATTAGTGAAATTAACAAGGATGATATACTAGATATATCAATAAAACCCAATACATCACAGATTATATTTAAAAATGTAACTTTACATCTTATACAACTGGATAATAATATATCCGCTTTAATTGAATCGAATTCTTAGATGAGGCCTGGTCCCAAGGCTTTGCCTCTTCTTGCTGTGGCAAGCACTTTGATGTTACTGCTATCAGCATATATTTTTCTTATTTTGTTGATTATCGCAGTTATGTGGTTCATGAAATGTATATAGAATATAGGTAGGCTTGAAGCGCCAGTGCTCCGCAGGCCTGAAGAAGCAACTCTAGGCTTAAAGAAGAGACAAAGTCTTGAATCTCCGATTCACTATTTCTTTGAAATAAAGGGTTATAAAAAAAGTAATTGATTGCAGGATATGTGGATCAGGTAACAGGCTGTCTATTTAAACTTGGATATTATTTATATTCGAAAAAATATTTATTGTATATTTTCCAATCTTGTATGCCAGAGGTGTTCCTTTATTTGGTAAAGCTATCCTCTTATTACTGCACTTTGCTATATTCGCCGCTTTTTTCACCACTTCCAGATATGCTACATTTAGCTGTCCTCCCAATCAAGATCCCCAAGACCGCCTTAGGGTTGTGGTGTTACCTAGCCAATCGAGGATTTACATGCACAGCCTTATGCAGTATTACTTTCTGTAACACCATGTTACACGTAGTGCCCAGTCTTCTCTACGACTTGGGACTCCTTCCAAGAATTCTTTATAGGCTGAATAAGTACTTCATATGGTCTTATCATCACAGAGTTTCGCATTTAAAAGCTCCTATAGGTTACAGAGATAATTAATTAAATTAATTACCACCAGCTATAATCGAACCATTGACCTTGTTTGTGGAGATTAGGCTCCTAGGCTACTAGGCTATGGGACCCTAACCCCATAGGCTGACTTTTAAATCTATATAGCAATACTGTATTACTGTATTATTGCATTATCATATTGCTGTATTGATTTAGAAACCAGATCATCACATGTATTTGAGTGTCAAAAAAAAGTTTAATTTTGCTGAGCACTAAACCTGCCACTTGGAGAGGGTGACAACAAGACCACTACACTAAGTTGCCACACCTCATTTCTTATATAATATTAATAAATAAAATAAAATAAATTAAATTATATTTTAGAAAAAATTTAATTGTAACAGCTGCTATGCTGCATATTTGTAACAACCTATTGATGTTAGGGTTAGTGTTAGAGTTAGTAGGGCTAGTGTTAAGGTTAGTGTTAGATTAGATTTAGAGTTAGTGTTAAGATTAATTCAAAATTGCAAGAGAATCATTTTTCATTAGTAATACAAAGAGATTATCTTGAGTTATAAATCAAACTGTTACAAATAAGCATGTAACAGGCTGTTACAAATAGATTTATCTAAATAAAATAACAATTAAAATATAATTTAATTGATCAATATAATATTAATCAATAGAATGAAATAGCAACTTGACTGATCAATAACCAATTAATCCTTAAAATAACAATGGCATAGAACCTAATTAATAAACAATATAGTACTGATTAATCCTACATTACAAAATTAAAAAATAGACTCAAATTTACTAAACTAAAATCTAAATATTTTATATTTTAATAACCAGGATCTGGAAAACTATTTATTTATCTTTGTCTACTTGCTGCAATCTGTTTAACTTATTCAATTGCTCTAGCAACCACATAATCAGGTATAGCAGCATTGCTAATGCCTGGAGGCTGAATCGCATATTCTAAATTTAAAATCTCTTTAGACATTGGACCAGATTCAACATACACAATCAGTAAACAAATCCACCTGGCTAAACTACTAAAATTAGCCAAACTAATTATTTGGGACAAAATTTCAATGATGGATCATTATTCAATAGAAGCCTTAGATAAAACATTGAAAGATATAATGAAATATGACAAACTATTTGGCGGAAAAGTCATCATATTTGATGAAGATTTCTGCCAAATTTTACCTGTAATCTCAAGAGGAAGTCGTGCTCAAATCATAAATGCAACTCTAAGATCTTCTGCTCTATGGAATAAAATAGAAGTTTATCATCTTCACCAAAATATGCGGGTAAAAATGATTCTGAAACCAACAACTTTAAAGAATTTTTACTAAGAATAGGAAACGGAACAAAGCAAACCATCGAAGATGACATGATTCAAATCCCAAATAATATGGTTATTAAGTAGCATAACAAAGAATCATTACAAACTCTTATAAAACAGTATATCCATTTCTCCAAAACCAATATTTAAATACCCATTACTTCACTGATAAAATTATACTTACCATCAAAAATGAATATGTTGAACATGTCAACAATATAATATTGAACCATTTACCAAATGATTATATAATGTACCGCAGTTTAGATTCTGTAGTGTTCCTAAATAAGCTGGCTTGCTGCTGCTTATTTGTCACACCCCCAGGCTTGCTGCAGCTTATAAGCCTATGTAACCATATAATTTTAATCTAAATTTTGTTAAATTTTAAAATTTAATTTAAAATTTAATCTAATATTAAATTTAA